TGCTCAAGCACGTTTTCAGTGCACTGCACCGTTGGCATCATAGCACTGAGAGGAGAAGCCAGAGAAATAACCTAACTGTCGTTTTCTTTCTCTGCAGACAGAAGCACTAAAATGTGTGGCACAAGCCAGTAAGAACCGGTCGCTGGCAGATTTTGAGAAGGTGAGACAGGAGACATAAAAGTTGGGGCCTGGCTGAACAGGACGTTTTGTGTTGGAAAGTTGTAGGAGCTGCTACATCCCACAGCAGGAAACCAGAAAAACATTCACAGAAAGCAAATAGGGCATCAAGGAAATACTCTGGAATAGTTGGCCCGTTTGGTCTTCACAGCATCAGGAGTAAGAGCTTGCTTGAAACTAGGTGGGGATTTTGGGGTTTGTTTGAGAACAAACTCAGAGGCACTGTCCTGTACTTCTGGTGCTGTTCAGTGGGATGTGCACCTTCCACCACAGAGACAAGTGAGAGGATTCCCGTGTCAGGGAGCAATCCTGTCATGCCGTCTCCTGAGCGTAATCCAGATTCTGGCTTGCTAAGCTGCAGCAGTGTAAAGATGAAAGCTGCTTGCTGCACGGTGCCTGAGAGGCTGCTAGGCTGTCGTGACCTCCTGGCCCTTTGGCTAAGTTATGAGATTGGATTAACCACTGATACTTTGCTGGGCTGGGAGGGCAGACTGCTCCTTACTCAGAGGGCCTTGAAGATGGGAGACCTGTTGCTAACTGAATTATTTGTCCCCACCGTGTCTTCCGCAGGCTCTGACAGACTATAAGGTGGAGCTCAGGGACGACCCCATCATCAACACTCACTTGGCTAAGCTCTGCGATAACTTATTGGAACAGAATCTGATCAGAGTCATCGAACCCTTCTCCAGAGTACAGGTAAATGTTTCCAGCAGGCACAGCGACCCTGCTGCTGGTGCCTCTGCCCGGCTGCTGGTGGGTGAGGGACTTCTTCCCATGCAGAATAATTCTTACTCAGAGCTGCTTGGTGCTTCCAGAGCTGAGGGTTCATCGTGTTCAGCTGGAAAATAAGGAGGGGGCTGAGGAGAAATTTGGAAAACCACGTTCCAGAGTCATTGCCCTTTCCATCTGTTTCAGTTGTGCACACTGATGGGTGGACGTGCTTTGAACACCGGAGGCTTTTCAGGGCTCTGACAGGGTGTGGGTAAAGCTGCAGTAATCTTGGAGGAGAAATGTTATTTCATGTTTCAGAGTGAAATGGCTTTAGGTGTCTTGTCCATCTTCAGTTAAAATTGGATATGAAATCTGAAGGACATGAAGCTGCAAAGAGGAGAAAGCCATTGGAGATTTTTAGGCCAGAGCATTTACAGGCCCTTGAGCTGTTCCTTGGAAGAGCCCCACACCTCCATGCTGTGTGTCAAAAGTGCAGCTAAAGATTTACTTAACTCTTGGTCTCTCTTGTAGATTGAACACATATCCAGCCTCATCAAGCTCTCCAAGGTAAGAACATCACTGGAAATCAGTGGCACATCTTAAGAGGGCAGAGGAATTGAGGTCAAATGGCATTTGCCACTGGGGAATAAACGTGGGCTATTAGGTCTGACAGATCAGCTCCACAGCGTTCTCAGGAAAACATCGCTCTTGGGAACTTCCACTTTAACAGCCAGTTTCCAGGAGGCATTGGCCTGGCTTCCTCTGCTCTAGGCTTTGCTGTAACACCACCATCCTTCACCTGGGTTTTACTCCCTGCGTTAGCACTTGCTTTTTATTGGCGGCAGATCTTCCTCTGCTGTAGTAACAGCTCATGTCATGACCAGCTCAGTCTTCCCTGGTGACCTGCATTTAATCCTCCTGAGCGTGCCCAGAGGAATCTTTCTTAGATTTTTTAGGATCCGGCTAATCACTTTGATTGAAGTTTCATTAGGGTGCGTATGTCACATTGCCTATTGCAATAACTGCTTTACAGATAATCCCAACCAGATTAAGTTTTAGTAAAATCCACTGTAGTCCCAGCTGGTTGCATCCCGAAGTGCATTTGTCCTGTATTGCCATTAAGGCCAGAGCTTTGGAAGTGTCCTGAGCTTGGCCTTTATGGTCATTACATTATTTGCCCTTTTCTTCTATCTGCAAACTCTTTTCCTAGCGTAGCCCTTGGTGTTTAACACACACCTAATAGAGTGTAAGAGCTGGGCTGTGGTTGTTTGTGTGCAGCTGTGTCCCCTGTCCAAAGAGCAGAAGAGGAGCTGGCTCCTTGGGGCCTTGCCTGGCACGGGGCAGGAGGTCAGCTCGGTACTGAGCGGCTTAAATGCAGCTTGGCCAACACTTGACTAAATATTTGCTGAACCAAATTCCCTAACGAGCAGAGCCTGTGTGAAATGGCAGATACACCATCTTCTGCGGAACAAGAGGGCAAGACATCCTGGTGCTCTCCTTATTAAAAGCTACTGCTTCATTTCCTATGTCATCTGAAGCATGTGGTGGTATCAAAGCAGTGTGCAAGGAGAGGGGAATCGCATTCAGTGATAAAATAGCTGCTTTTACGCAGTGCTTGTCTCCCGCCAGGGCTGTTGAGTGTGCAGTAGTGAAATTCGCATTTCTTTATATGGTTCCGGGAGACTTTTAATTTTTCTGCTTCAATTTCAGGCTGAGGTAGAAAGGAAACTGTCACAGATGATCTTGGACAAGAAATTTCATGGTGAGTCTCTGCATCCTCCGAGCTTGACTGCCTTGCCCAAGGGCAGGTCGCGTGTAAGCAAGCTGTGGATAGGCTCCTCTTTATCTGTGGGTAGGCTCCTCTTTATCACTGCACCTTCGAGCCTTGAGCGTCCTTAGACTGCTCTGCTCCGCTTCAGGCGGCAGACGCCGTTAACAAGCGCTCCGGGAAGAGTTCTGAGCGGTGGGTTTATTTGTTACCCTGTTGTCACGAAGGCTGTTCCTATTGCTCCTTCCATCTGCCTTCGTTAAGCTCGAGGCATAATTTCCCCCAAATTAGAAACCACATTTAAGCCTTTGCTTGCATCCGAGGACAGTTGTGAGACCCGCTGGAGGGCTGTCTAGCAAAGATGTGCTCTTCTGCCTTGGAGCCTGCTGGAGTACGTGGTCACCTTTCCCAGATAATTGATGTCAGGAGCGTTTTGGGGGCACCACGCAGCACAGTTGATTGGTTTGAGTTTGGCTGGGACCGCAGGAGGCTGCCTCTCTAATAAGCCCTCAAGGAAAGAGCTCTGTTGTTTACATTGTCCCTGGCATCGATTTAGAAAGCCCTCTTGATCTGGCTGAGCAAGATGAATGGCTGGAAGAAGCAGGTTGGTTAGACAACAGCTCCAAAATTACAGAACCCAGCTGCAGTGCCCATCTGGCACCTGGAAATAATTGCATTATAAAGTGGCTTTTTTCATCTTGTGTTGTGCTGAGCCGTCCTGCTGGGCACAGGGGCCCTGAGGAGGAAGGTGGCTCTTAGGGAATGTGCAGACACGAGCATCTCCTGCGTCTCTTCTCGGGCCCCTCTTTTTTCAGTCCCCTGGGTAAGCTGCTGCTACAGCCCAGACAAAAATCAGCCCAGCACAACACATGAGCCCCTTCCAAACCCAGCACAGCTGCCCGGCCGTTTGCTGGGTAGCTCCCTAAATTCCCGCTGTCTGGAAGACGCGACCTGCCCAGCGTGCACTGGTAACCGCAGCTTTGTGCCCGCAGGCATCCTTGACCAAGGCGAGGGAGTCCTGATCATCTTCGACGAACCCCCCGTAGACAAAACTTACGAAGCCGCCCTCGAGACTATTCAGAATATGAGTAAAGTAGTGGATTCGCTCTACAACAAAGCCAAGAAGCTAACATAGGTGAGTGGAGGCGGGAGCCGGAGGTCGAGGCTGCTCCGGACCTAGCGCTCCTCCCAGGCCAAGGTGCGGTTTGTGTCCTTGAGGCTTGGTTTTCCTCTCCTCTCGATTGACGTGGCTCTGTTTTCTTTTTGCAGAGTTGAATTTGCTAGCTGTCATTTGGAGAGTGTGTGTGACAGGAGAGTGAAACCTTTGGGAAAATGTTAGGAGACTTATTATTATTTTTTTTTTGTTTTGTTTTTCTTTGTTCTACTTTTCGCTCGGAAAGTTTTTAAACTTCCTCATCCGGTGCATCTTGTATTCCATACGATGCGTGTTCCAGTTTCCATGTAATCTTTACTGGCCGAACTTTGTATCTGGGGGGGGAATCTTGTTTAAACAAAGAGGGTATTCTAAATAAAAGGAAAAAGGCTTACACTACTTAAACATGTGCTTTCCACTTCCTGAGGGATGCCAGAGAGTTAAGCAGGGACAAAGTTTTGTTACCAGTAGGTGCCCAAAACAAGTTTGTTTCGTCTCTCCCTCTGCTCTGAAATCTGAGACTTGCTGAGGGGGTAGAAGCAGCCAAGTTTATTCCATTTGTACTGCACCAAAAAAAACCCCAAAATGTACAGACTGCTGGTTTATTTTTAAATCTCCAAGGCCTCAGATCCCCTCGAAAGCAGCTCCACAATGATTCTCCTGAAGGCTTTCACACCCAACAGCCCCCTTCAGGATTGCCATTGTGCCGCGCTAGCCCAGAGCCACCCCGCGCAGCCGAGAAGCCTCGTAGACGGCTGCGGCCTCTCTAGACCGTTAGGCCAGTTTCTATCAAAGGGAACAGCGCAGGTTTCCCCTGGAGGCCTGCATTGCATGCTATTGTTTTAAAATAGACTAGATTTTAAATGTTTTATCCCTCCTCCCCACCTGCATTGGTAGGAAGAACAGGCGAGCAGGCGTCCCCCCGAGGGAGCCGCACCTCGGCCCGGGCGCTGCTCAGCCCCTCGGTATTGACCTCTGCTGCGTTAAAGTCTTTCATTTCTCTTTTGATTTTTTTACTTTTAATTTTAATTTGCCAACATCCGGTGTGGGACAGCTCGGCCCTTCTGGAATAGCCCAGCGCAGCCCTCGCTGGGGAGCGGCCTGGGGACCGCTCCGGAGTCGTGTTTGGGGCTGCCAGGTTCCGAGCTGGGTGTTGAGGCCATTTGGGCAGTGTAAGCTTCCGCATCTGTCCTGCTGATCTTTGCTTTTCCTTTCCCTTCTGTCTCTCTTTCTCTCTCTCTCCCTCGCCACGTTTTTCTTACAAAATTTATATTTTGTAAAAGGGTTCTGTTTTATCAGGAAATATTTTGCCTTCACGCTGAATCTTAGACTGGCTGAGTTCTCTGCTTTCTGTTCACATTTAACCTCTCCGACAGCTGATTTTACTTTATTTTTTTTTGTTTCCTCTAAACTTTCCATCTCATCCAGTCAGTCGCTGTTTGGGTTTTTGGCACCATCAATATCAAATGTACAAACGGTTCTTGCTAACCAACACCAGGTATATCTGATGTTCAGATGAGTTCCAATAAAAGAATTTTTTTTTCAAAGACGTCTCCTGTCTTCAGCTGCCGAGGCCGATCAGGGGCGCGCTGGGGGCAGTTCCTCCCAAATTTAGGGAGAGAGAGAGAGAGAGAGGTGCTGTGCAACGCGAGCTGCACCCCTGGCCGGAGCTCCCCAGGGCATCGGTGATGATGTTCGAGACACAGAGTGCGAGGGACCTCGTTTGGAGCAGCATCACAAAGGTTTGTGGATGGTGAGGTGTTCCTGGCACAGCGAGCTGGGGTTTTACCAAATAAAGTTGTGATATTAGTATTATTATTAGTAGTAGTAGTAGCAGCAGCAGCAGCAGCATTAGTAGTATTAGTATTATTACCACTATTAGTAGCATTATTACCATTATTATTAGTATTATTACCATTATTATTATTACTATTAAGAAAATTGAATTGCATCTCCCCTCTCCCACCTCTGGCCTCTCACAAATACTCTGGTGCTGTACTGGAGAGTCCCACGTTGTGGGATAGATTCCTCTTAAGGAAGAGAGGGGTTTTGGGGGTGTAATTGAACCAATACAACAAATATTTCACTTTCATGCCTGAACCTCACGCACCCTGGATGCACCTCATTGAGGTGGTGCAGGTCTTTTGGAAAGAAACCTGTCCCTGTAGGCAGAAAACCACAAAGAACTTGGCCATGCCAAAGAGCAGGGGTTTGGGTTGCGAGGGAAGTGCGTTTCTAGTTCTCTTCATAGGTTTTTTTTGAACTATGGTGTTTCCCAAAAGCAGCTCTGGCCGGTTCACTGGCCACTGAGGTGGCGTTTTCCCCGAGGATGCTCGGCTGCGGGCAGGATTTGCTGATTTGGGTTGGTGATCAATGGAAATGTGTTCCTGGCAGGGGAGCTGCAGCCCCTGGGTGCAGCAGTGATGGCCTCACACAAGGCCAAGGTGGAGATGGCCGAGAAATCCTGCACGTCCTCGCTCAGGACGGTGTCCTGCTCTGGCCGCTGTCCCTGCAAGGACAGAACCGCTCCTGGCCCAGCAGGTGGCAGCGGGGGCAGCACCAAACCCATGCAAGACCTGAGCAGGAGCCAGGACGGTGCTGCAGGGCCGCGCTGACGCTGGCTCGGGGGCGGCGTGGCCGCCTTGTGTGGGGTCAGCGAGGTTTGGTTGCGCCTTGGTCGTTCAAAGCGGCTGCAGCAAGCCAGGATTTTCTGAGGCACCCGTGTATTAAAATCAGGGCCAAAAAAGCTCGAATGGCGGGGGAAACCCTTTTGACTTAAACTTCAAGAGGCTTCGCTTAAAAAGCAGGCGTGCACACAAAGGGCAGTTTCACGCCGCTCAGGTCCGTGTAGTGTTTGTAATGGACAAAGGGGTCTCTCGGTAGCGGTGGTGCCGCTCGGGCTGGGCCTGCGTGGTCCCTTTTGGCTCGGGTGCAGAGAAGCCTCTAAAGCCGTGCAGAGAGGAGACCTTTTCAGCTTCCCTTCCCAAACCAGCTCCCGTGCTGGGTTGGATGTGCTCTGAAGGATGTGTGGGGTTTTGGGTGCTTTGGGACGGGTCCCTCCTCAGCGTCAGTACCACGGGTCGGTCCTGAGCTGCCTCCGAGAGCTGCCCTTGCACCGGGATCGTGGCACGTGGGGATGGGGAGAGCCAGAGCCAAAAATCTGCCCTGGTTTTTACTGCACCTCTGCAGCGCAGACCCATGAGCACCCAGCCATGCACAGCACCAACCCTGGTGGGAACAGCAGCGTTGTCCCGAAGTGACGTTTTCTTCGCCTTCCACGTGTGTTCAACCCCAAATGTGTGGTGGGCTCGTTCCGGGCAGGAAAAAGGCCCCCGCGTGGCTCTGCCACGGGCTGGTGGCTTTGGGGACAGCCCTTTCCAGTGTCCCTGCGCTGCCCAGGCCCTCAGGTGCTGGGAGGGTGCAGTTGTGTCTGGGTGAAACCGGAGGTTTTGGGGGTTTCTGGAGACTTCCGTGTTGTGGGAAGGGGACAGGCAGCCGCACGTCTGTGGCAGTGATGGCTTTTGGGCGTGTGGATGAGCTCAGTCCTAGTCATGAGCTGAACCCCAGTGAGGGCAGTGTCAGGGTGACACCTTTCCCTGCTTCACTTGGGGCAGGAGGTGACCCTGAGGACTGGACCCGGGGCCCGGCAGCCCCTGCCACGGCACCTTTGGTGCGGAGCAGCCTTCAAGTGTGCGGTGCACGACGGGGCTCGTGTTGGCCGGGTCTGCTGCTCCCCTGCCCTGCGGGAAAGGGGAGCCCCTAATTCCAGGGGGGAAGGAGTCTGAGCTAGGCAATGGCGGGGGCTTTACCCAGGCACGGAGTCCCCGTGGGGCTGTGGCACCCATGGGTGCTGCCCCTCGGCCTCCCCTGGGTCCAGTTTGGCTCAAACCCATCCCAGCCTTA